TTAGCTATACAAAGAAGCGCAAGAGGACTTCTAAACAAGCTGAAGGGAACAACGGTACCACCACAAGCTAGAATCATCTGATAATAAATACTGAACCTCTAGCAGCCTGTGGATTAATCTTGGTGATGATAGCATGTATACTACAATAAAGAAATAAGTTTTTATTCATATTATAATAAATTAGTATGATATGTATGCCAACATAACTACTAGATGATATGGAATCTACACATATGCTTGTATAATGTTGATATCTAATTTAGTCCATGATAATGTTGTTGCTAATTGAACAAAAACTGCTTAAATTTAGCAATATATTTCTATGAAAAACATATATTTGGTAGCTGAATTCTCTATACAATTATTATCATTATTGAACTTTGAAACCGAGAATTATTATTAATTTCCACTGTTTTTAAAATATGTATTCATGGGAAACATATCTTGCATATTAATTTCCACGATTTTTTTTTTGTAATTTCTCGAATTAATAAGAAAATAAGGATCATCATACTAAATTTAGAAACGCTATAATAATTCGAGATATATTATGACGAGACACATATTACTAATCATTGATATGTGTCTTTGATTATTCAGAGGATCTATGAGATTAATCATTTTCAAATTACATAATATATACATTCCCTTCTCTGTTTTTTTTTTTAGAAAGATCTTCCATTAATGTTAGAAATGAATGCAATTTTCAAAAAAAAAATATCAGAAAAAATGAAAATGAAAATTGAAATTGAAACCAAATAAAAAACGAAAGAATCGTAAAACTTCCTCTAGCTCTCCTCTCAATTAGTCCGAGAACAAAAGATGCAAGAAGTTTTGGCTTTTATGGGTTGTTGGCAGACGAACTTTTTGTTGACGCTAAAGCCAAATCGACTTTCTAAAGAGACTTTAACCAGCAAACAAAGCCAATTTGTGAATTTTGGCAAGCTATTTGGTCCAAAACTCAGGTAAGAATCAATCTAAACTTTTATTTTTTTTAAGATTTTATTGCAATGTTGTTTGATAAATTTATAGTCTTTTATTTCTTTTGATTAATTGATTTATGGGTGAGAAGTGGCAATATGTACTTTACAAGATTTTCGGGTGCTATAAGTATATTTGAAAAATTGGTGTAAATCATATTTTTAAAAGTTTTAAATTTTTTATTTAAAATGTATATATTTTTTATGTTTTCAGATCGTTTTAATTTTAAGATGCTAATATCAAAAATAATTTTTAAAAAATAAAAAATATATTTTAATATATTTTTAAGCGAAAAACATTTTAAATTGCCACTGTTACCACAATCTCAAATAGATTCCAAAACAATGAGTGGAGATTTAGAAATTAAAAGAAGATTATCCATCTAATTTTAAATATGTTGATCACATTATTGTTTACTGGGAATATTTAGATAAATTACTAAATAAAATAATACTCCCCCCCTCTCTCATATTAAAATAAAAGTAATTTACTTTAAAAGAAAATATTATTTTTTTCTCTTTTCCCTTTGACATTCAAAATTAATTTAATAAGATTTATAAAGATATTAGTATTGTGAAATATTATTTTAGTTCTAGTAGATAATGAATTTTAACGCTACTAGTAAATTTTTTTATATACAATTATAAAAATAAAAAATTAAAATTTTCTTATTAAGAAAGTGATCACATTATACTAAATTATTTGAGCCTTTTACATAGAAAAAGAAAAATTAATTTCATCAATTTTCCTTTTCCTTTCTATGCATATCCCAAGCGATGAAATGCTAATTAGGGAAAAGTCAGAAAGTTTATATGCAAGTAAAAACCAATTTAAAATTAATTAAATATAATGATTTTTTGAATTATTATTTTTTATATAAAATTTGGTTAAGGAAATCTGATAAATCAGTTGAGTTGGATTTCAGTTTCATATTTTTTATATAAAAAACAAATAAAACTGAATTATAAACTAAAAATCCCTTCAATCAATCAACATCTAAATTAAAAAAACTAAAAGGCTCATTTCATTTAAATTAGATTATTTATTTGGTTTTAACAAATGTAAAACAAAATCAAACCAAACTGAAAGTTAAGTTCTTCTACAGTTTTTTAAGATATTCCAGTGCTAGAAGGAAAAAGTTCGAATTATACAACATATATAGAAAATCCTCCCCTCATCTCATGCCTCACACTCTGTGATGTAATTAAGCTATATTTAATTTTACGTTACATAGCCAAGTAACTTTCTATCAAAGAGGAGTACTATAAGTGCTTATTATAAAACAGAAGAAGCCACCCGACATTTTTCAGGTTGGTCCTGCATGCAGTGCCTTTGGCAACAATTAACGAAGCACTTCAGAGAGGCTTAACGGGGACTCCTAAAGTCGAGGAACTCTGTCCTGCAGCCTGTAAGATCACGTATTCTGAACTCTTAACAAAATCAATTGTCTTCAAGCTGGAAGCTTGGAGGAAATTACCTACAGATCAATACCAAGTTTTCAATCAATATCCCTCTCTACCTTAGTAATCAAATAAAATAATAAAAATTAAATCTAATAGATAAAAAAATTAAAAAAATAAAGACAAAATATATAGCAATTAAAAATTTATAAATCAAATTTAATAGATAAAAAATTTTAATTAAAAAAATAATAAGAAAAAAACAAATAAGAATCATAAAAATAAGAATTAAATCGATATAAAAATCAAATTAAATTAAATTTTAAAAGATAAAATTAAAAAAATAAAGACAAAATATATAGCAATTAAAAATTTATGGATCAAATTTAATATAATTAATAAATAATAAGATATTTTTAAATTTTTTATCATTTTAAAAAAATATTTTTTGCTTAAAAAAATATTTTTCTCAAAACAAAACTAAATTTCTTTTAACTATAAAGGGTTTTCATTAATTAATTTTTTAATCATAAATAAATTTTAAAAATTAATTTTTATAAAACAAACGGTCCTGAATCAAATTCAATTTTGGCTTTTGATCGAGCTTCGTTTCAATCCCAAAGTGATTGATAAAGTACTAAATCTAGAAAAGTTTCCAACAAAATCATTAGCCTGCAACATCCATGCACTTTTACTAGGCATCCAACTGTCAGCATGTTGAGGGAAATTACATGCAGGAGGTACATATATTTACTAGTTACTCCGAATTTCCAAAGCAAGATGTTGAAATAGGCTTTGCTACATCCACTCCACCTTCTTCCTCGCCATGTTAAAAACAGAAAAGTGGCGTGCATGAACACAACAACATTCATCAAGGACATCTTTGCTTTGACAAAAGCTTCACATACATCGATCCCAAAGGGTTATTATACAGCGAAGTACGCCCCAAAAGAGTTCAAAAAAACCTCTTACCTACAGCTTCAAAGCCTCCATCTCTCTTCCTACAACCTTACACCTCATAAAACTCCCAATAGTATTCAAAACCAATCTCACATCATCCCATCTATCTCCACTAGCCATCTTCTTGTACAAGTAACTATCAAATGTCATCCTCTGCACATACTCATCCCCACATAACTCCACCAATGCCTCTCTACCCACATCACTCCCATAAAACACTCTTTGCAACAAATCCAAGAACCTGAAAGTATTCACATACTTGTCGTCCCATTCTCTCAAGTACACCCTCTTCAAATCCTCCTCACTGACCATCCTCTCCCCCCTTCTGAAGCCTTCACAATAGCCTCCCCGCACATTCTACCGGATTTCGCCGCGAAATATATTCCTTCTCCCGAACACTTGGTCACGTACCCCGCCGCGTCCCCAACAAGCGCCACACGTCCACGCACACGCCTCGGACGCGGTTGCTCCGGGATTGGGTGAGCCTCCACTTTAATCACTCTGCCACCCTTAATCTTCTCCTTAACCCTCTCCCTGATCCCTCTTTGATACACCTTAATATCCCGCCTCGCACACACCGTGCCCGTCCCCACCGCCACGTGGTCGCATTTTGGAAACACCCACGCGTAAAAGTCAGGCGACACGTCATTCCCAACATACATTTCTGCGAGATTATGATAATACTCCATTTTCTCATCCGGTAATTTGATTCTCTCTTGAAAAGCAATGGCACATCTGTAATTCCCTGCATTAATAATCTTTGCTACCCTGCTATTAGCCCCATCAGCCCCGACAATCAAATCAACGGCTAACGTTCGTTTACAATTATTAATAGTGTGGTGGATAACATAAGGTTTTGAAGATAAAAAATCAGGCACCTCAATATCCGTGACAAGGCCAGTGATAAAATGAGCACCATTGGATTGAGCACGAGACCGGAGAAAAGAATCCAGCACTTCGCGGCGCAACATGGGGATAAACTCATGAGACTTTAAAGTTTTGGATCCGAAATCGACGGTCAGGTTCGAAGGAGAGATGATCTTCATGCGAGTGACATGTCGGTCGATGAGGTGAAGAGGGATGGAAAACTCCTCGATCATGCAAAGAGGGATGGCTCCACCACATGGCTTAGCTGTGGAAGGGCTACGCTCGAAGAGGAAGGCTTCTGCGGCGGATGAACCTGCTGGGCCGCCGCCGTTTTTGCGGCCAGAGAGGGGGCTGGATGAGGTGGCGGTGATTGTTAGAGTTTTGGATTTTGGTTGCTGGTGTTGTTTTATGGTTTTGAGAGGTAGGGTTGGAGTGAAATGAAGGTTGTGGGTTAGTGCTAGTGCGGCCATGGTGTTAATGCTAAGTTTTTTAGGGTTTAGAGATGGGTGTGAAGAGAGTGATAAAGGCAGCTTGGAATGTGATGGAGTTGGGTTTAGGGGAGAGAAAGAGAATCATTTTTATTTTTTATTATAATGATGTTTGATTCTTTTAATGTCATCGTTTTAATAAAAATAATTAACTTAAATTCACCGGTGATGCAAACTTATAATCTTCTTCATGAGAGTGGCCATATTGGGGCTGTCAAGTATGGTCGAAACACGCGCATGCATGATTTCTTAATTCCATTTTTCATTCATATAATTGTGAAAAATACACAGTGCCCATAAAATCTAGGGAAAAATATCATCATGTTTCCAATATCATTCTTGAACAGGACAGTACTGTTTGCATTAACAGTTACTATACTAGCGGTGTGTATACAGTTACTACTGGGATGCAAGAAACAAATTTCTGAAAAGTTATCATCATAATCTAAAATTATGTTCAATCTGCAGTGCTCAGCATGAGCAACAGGCCAAAAACTACTAAAGCAGACGGTTTGATGAAGCATGTATCACCTGGATGGCACTCCGGTCAAATGTGAAGTGGACACCAATTCCTGGACTGTGATAGGACGACAAATGCCGGGCAAGGGATGGCCAAACCAGGCTGAATCAGCAAGCAAGGAGTTCAATGCTTGCGTAGGATTGTAAAGATCCCACCATACGTGAGCTGAAGATTGGTTGCAGGCCGTCTCTGTGGAAACACAGCCAATCTCTGCACCATGAAGACCGAGCCCACAGCACGCATTCTGTGTATCCCTAAATCCTGTATTAGGGACAGAAGCTTTCTAGTTCAATAATCTGATACTGGTGTTGTATTCTGTTCACAATGCAGTAACATCACACTAGGTTACATATAATCATGCGTTTGGTTCGATACTATGGACCAAGAACTTAGTAAAATGGTGCAGGAATGGCAAGAGGAATTGATCGATAGCTGTGACAAATTTTCAAATCTATCTCAACTCTGTACGAACTTGCAGTTGGTATACTTCTGGCAGATCAATATACAAATATCAATCTAGCTATTCAAGCTAATTATAAGGATAAGAAAATGGAAGTGAACTAATTTTTAAAAAATCATAGAATTTCAAAGCAAGGAAGTTTTCGGCTTTGGGGATGATTAGGCATAAATCGTCAGCAACTGGTGTAGCAACTTCAACCTAGAATTCCTTAAAAATGGGAACAATGAAAAAGGGTTCGTACCGAAGAGTGTTGGGTTGGTTATGACCTCCATCATTCCCTGGTATACATCACAGAAAATTATCTGAGCGTCAGGTAATTCCACATTGAGCTCCACAATATGCTCACTAAGCATTGTATTGTATTGCAAAACCAACTCGTTGATCTCTTCTACACAACCCATTCCATGATGAATAGCAGTTGAATTATACGACTCCCATACCACGCGTGGAGTGCATCCCAGCGGCAATATTCCTGTGCTTATGATCTTCCTCACATTTGCATCGTAAAGGGTCCGTATAGCATGAACCATCTGGTTGACCAGAATGCGAGCAAATTCTTGGCCACTGTACTTGAGTATCACGCCTGAAGAATTCCTCAGAAAGAGGTCAACATAGTCATCTTTTCCAAAGGAAAGATAGAACATGGAGGATTTGATAAAATCCTGGGCGATGTCCTGTCTAAGCTGAAGCTGCAACAACTGGAAGGTCTCGTATACTTGGCGCAGCTGTTGGTTAAAAGAGGAGTGGCTCTGGCTGCTGGGGCTTATGATTGTTGCATGCGCTGAACCGTAATTCACACCTTTTATTAGCCCTTCAATCGATCCATTCTGACTGTTGAATGGCTGGGAATTAGGCAAGCCCATCTTCTGAGCTGCAGTACCATAAAATTGACTAACATTACTAGAATTGCGGCTCCATTTTAACTCTTAAGAAACAGTTCAGTGCACAGATCATGCCATCAATACACCAGGTCCTTTTGCATCAGAAACTTTGCAGGTGAGCACTTATAGTTTCACACAAAAATATACAGCAAAAGAAAAGCACGAGATATATATGGTCTAGAAATTGGTAACAGAAAATCACATTATGTATCCATTGAAAACAACATCCTCCCTGAAACCAAGAATTCTACATCTAACCAATTTATCTCCTTCCACTTCAACTGTTTTCTCATGATTCTTGAACAGCTATGGAAAACAATCGAAACCAGAATGAATTTGTTTCTTTCTTTCTTTCTCTACGGGTTTAAACACCAAGTATCACTTATGAGCCAACCAATTAAAGGCCAGCTTTCAACATTAACAAATTAAGAACGCTCAGTTTCACATATAGTTCCAAGAAAAACAAATGCATGTATAGTTACTTTCAAGAAAGAGAAAGACAGTTACCTAGAAGATGAGGAAGAAGGGTGGAGTCTGACCCATTACAAGGAAGCAAAGAAAGATTTCTGCGAAGTAGAGGGTAAAAGAGACTGTTCTTTCCACAATCAACAGAAGAATCACCCATTAAGTACAACGCAGATACATGTGATCCATTTTCCATTACAGAGGGTGTATTTGGCAAGAATTGTCCATGCACTAGACCGCTCGAGCTCATTAAGATAGCAAGAAGAAGATATAGAAACACCATTGCCGCTCTTCTTCTTGATGATGTTGTTCTGATCTCCAGCCTTTTAGCCATGAAACTCTGCCTTTCTTCGGTTTCTTCTTTGTTTCTTGATGCTGTTTTGGGTGTGTTTCTTGGATGGAATAGCGTTTCTTTTGTTGATAACGCGGGAAGTATTGGATTCTTTACAGGTTTGAACTAGAAATGTGGTTAAGGGTTGATTTTGGTGCTTGCTCTGAATTAGAAAAGTGGTAGATTTATTGTAAGGCAAATTTACGCCCACCAACTGAACTTTGTAGGTCTGTAGCAGATTCAAATGTCTATACCCCATTTCTATTCGTTTCAAGTGTTTTCCAATATAGTTGCCAACCCCTCCAGGCCTGACTCGGAAAAGGTTCCGGGTTACTGAGTTGTCGGTCAACTCACGGGTTACAAGTTCAAAACTGATTAATCATTTCTTATCAAAATAATATCATTTATTCCTTAAAAAAAAAAAATTATTATTTTAAGGCCTGATCAAATTTGGCCGAATTATAGTTCATGCTGTGCAAGTCAATTGAGTTTGACTGAGTAAATATCTTTCTAAGTTCAGCTCTGTATCATGAGCTTTTCAAACCAGGGTAAGAAATGAGAGAAATTTCTTCATTTTATTTTATTTTTTTATGATGAGAAATTGTAGGAAATTCCAAACATGCAAGTAACCAGTTCAATGGATATACATATATAGTTTGAACTCGAAACCGCATTAAATAATAAAAAATTAAGTTGAGCTGCAGCTCATCAACAAGACAAATAGTTAAAACAGGCTCAAACGAGCTTGGCTGGTCTCCGTGATGGTAAGAAAGGAGGTTATCTTGTAAACTGTAGAAGATAAAAGTTGAGATTTGAACCATGATTTTACGAGATTTTAATCTCATCCCTCAACAGCCAATGAAGCAAAATTCTCCAAATGGTATGACTTTTGTTTCTTTAGCAGAAGAAATCCACCTTTTAGCATGCTAACCCAGAAAACCATTGTCCCGGAGATGCCAAAACCTCGTGGCTATACCTTGATTAATAAATTGTTGAAAAAAATGCCATCAGGATCTCTGAGACTAGTTAACCGCATAAAGAAAATAACATGGCAGGAGGGTTTCTCAGACAAGACTTCTACTAAATGTCTTCCACAAACAAAATTCAGCATCTGGAAGAAGGAAGAATCCCTTTCAGCCTTCAGGAGTGGTAAAAAGTTGGAAAGAACTTTTGGGACCAAAAGACTTTACTTTCCCCTGTTCTGACAACAGTTGTTGGAATGACTTGCAGAAAATCAGGGGAAAATCGTAACTCTGCTGTCAATTAATTCCACTCTTCCTTCCATTACCCTACAGGATCAAACTCGGATATGGCAAAAAGCATGCGAATAGTAACTCATCAGCCATCAGGCATACACATAATTCAACTCACCAAAATTCTAGGATGACTGCGGAAACAAGAAAATGAACGTGTATTTCTGTGGGGAAACAAGAAAATGAACGTGTATTTCTGTTGCCAAACATTTATTTCTTTATGAAATCATACAATTTCAGGCTTATGCGTAAACTTACTGGATCTCAAGAAATGTTTGAGATAGGCATTGGGGAAGAGAATAACAAATGAAAGTACAACAAGAGATTAAAATTAAAACTGGCGCAAGGAGACACATAAAAACTACTGTAAAATGAAGTTGCCTTTAAAATGCAAGTACCATAGCCAATGCAAGTTTAACTTCAGTTAGTAGCAATACACTCAGAACATAATTGTGTTCATAAATACCCAAAGAATAATCAGGTCATACTGCCCGGACTGGAGGAACACAGTAATTATCTGTTGCTATGCTTTCAGCTTGCCTCTCATCCCATGTTTATTGGGCCAGACACCACTCCTGTCGACATGCATTGGGTTCTTCTTGGCTGCAACAGAGCATTGATCAGTCCGACCACCCTTGCTGCTCATCTCTATTTGAAGTTTGCGCCGCCTCATCCTGTTCTCCAACCGTATTCCTCTCATGGCACGAACCGTCCGCTCCCTTTCCAGCGCCTGTGAGAAGTTCCAGATCCTAACAACACCTTCCTCTCCTCCACATACAATACGGTCAGCACCGATATCTACTGCAAACAAATTGGGCCCAAACCCATGTAACATCCTCTGAGGCGGTTCAATGTTGTTACGGTCCATATCGGTAAACCTTGAAACATTCTTTCGTAAAGAACGTCTGTTGGTCCTTAGTAGTTTTCTCACATCAACTAGTGACAGCCTCCCATCACTAGAAGCTGAAACAAGCCACGGAAACTCAAATGCAAGGGAATAAACAGGCCCTGAGTGAGGCATCCAAGTTGCAACCTTAAAAACATTAGCCTCAGGTTTAGGACCAGTGATCTCAAACATGTGCATAGCCCCATCTTCTCCTCCTGTAAAAATGAAATCCCCTGTATGGCTTCGAGCCAAAGAATAAGTGTTACCTACATGAGCACTATGAATGACAGTTAGCAGAGTCCCACAATTAGTGTCCCAAACATACACGTCTGAACCTGATGTGCTAGCAACTGTAGTATCATGCGGAACAAGGCTCCACACCCAGTCACCATGCCTCAAGATCTTGATGCATTTAAGTGAGGAACGATCCCATATACGAACAGTCATGTCCCATGACCCACTATAAATCCTTGTGGGGTCCAAGGCAAGAGAGGTTATAGGTCCCTCATGCTCCCAAATTCTAAATTCAGTGTTTGGCACCTCAGAACCTTTAAGGTCAAACAAGTTCTTGAGACCCTCAACTGCCCTCCAGCCTTGAATAAAACCATCAGTACCACCAGCAACCAACAGCTTCGTATCCGCTGCAACTGCTCGTATAGTGCAACCAAGTGGCCACGATGATGCAATATACAACCCGTCTTCCATGTCCCACATTCGCACAATCATATCATACCCAGAGGTAAAAATGAGCTTGGCAGAAGCCAATACAGAAACTGTTCTAACTGCTTCAGTATGCCCATGCAAAGTATCAATGCTATAACGACTCAAAAAAATCTTACTCCTGTACTCCCTCTCCACAAACAGTTCCTTCCATGACTTCTCATTTGAAACCCCCGCACCCAATGGTGCAGGAACTATAGGGAGTCCCCATCTCTCACTATATACTTCCTTCCAAACACTATTCTCGGTTGCAAGACTATTAAGTACTCTCGATACACACGAAACTATACCAAGCTCTTGAGGATCAAGGCAACTAAGAATCTCAGAAATCAATGCCGGAGGAAGGTCGGTAATTGACCGGCGACAATTGAGCAAAACATCATTACAAGAAAGCTGTTTTGAACTCAAACTGCTTAAAATCCCCTTCTTAGGATAACAATCTAAAGAAGACTCTGAAATTTCAAGATGTTCTGTATTGGAATTACTTTTTTCAACACAAATGGCAAGACTTTTTGACACCTCAGTGCTCTTTTGGCATTCAAATGCCATAAAATGAATAGCTAACCTAACCAAAAACACGAGAGCTAAAACACCTAAAGCCCTTAATTCCAAGACGTTACGTAAGCAAAACCCAGATGGAATTTCAACCCAAAACTTAAACTTTGACAAGAATTCAAGGACAACCCAACAAAAAACCTGAAACGAAACCCTAAAAGTCAAATCCAAAATTCAGTAACAAATAGACGAACTTAAAGCAAAACAATGACAGCCCAAATTTAAAAATGATCAGAGTTTGATGAATGTAAAGCAAATAATCGAAGGAGGTCAGATTATGTGATCCTCAAAGAACTCAAAAACTAAAACTTAATAAATAAAGATGAAGTTTTTAATGGTACCTATTGAAGGAGAGATTAAAGACAAGATCTTTGAAGCAGATACTGTAAATAGTCTTGTTGGGTTAGAGAATTTCTTGTCAAATATGATCAGACCATAATCTACAAGGGGAATTGAGGTTTTTTCATGGTGAGATTGGAGCATTTTTTTTATTTTCTATTATCATCGTTCAGTGGCTTAAGGATCTCGACGGTGGAGATTAAAGGATTAAGTGTCATAGGGTTGTAGGAACCGCGTGATGTAAAGTGCTGTCGGCAAAAAGATATGGCATGTTAAGTTGTCAATGAGCCCAATACTCCCATGCTAGTTTTGGGCCAAGTTTGTTCATTTTGTTTCATTTTTGAAGAGAGGATCTCATTCAATCCTTATTGGATTTGATCACCGGGTCAATTTGCTGTTCATAGAATTAACCTCTATCAATTATTTTTGTTTTGATTTTATTTAAACAGTTATTTATTTTTTATTTAAATTTTTTTAATATTGACTCCTTCAAGTTTGTAAACACTTTAATCGAGCAAACTAAATCATTAAAAACTTAGTTAAATCTACAAATCAATATATTTTTTATAATAATTTAAAATATGATTATGATTTTAATTTTAATTTTAATTTATAAATTTTTTATATCAATCAAAGATGTTAATCTTTAAAAATTTTAATGAAAACTTTAACCATACTAGGATATTGGTATACAGAGAATGTTACAGTAAGGTAGCATTTGGAAATGCAAGTTAATTTATGTTTTTAAAAAATTTAATTTTTAATAAAAAAATTAATTTTTTTGTATATTTTTACATTGTTTTGATGTATTAAATTTAAAAATAATTTTTTTAAAATAAAAAATATTATTTTAATATATTTCAGTATAAAAAATACAACATAACTATACTCTAAATAAAAAAACTCTAATCCCTTGCCTTTTTTGTTTGGCTCCAACATCAAAATATGTGGGATTGATGCCTAGATAGCATTGGATTATATGGCAAACATTAGCATTGTTTATTGTTACATGAGTGTATTATAATTACAGTTCAAGCAAAACAAGCACTTTGGGGATGGATTAGTATGGAAAATGGAAACTCGAATGTCGTTTTGTGCTGAGGGAATGGCTTCTTATTTAGATCCTATTTTCCCTCCTTAATTTTCTCATCCTTTTCTCACCTTTCTTTTTCATCTGTATCTTTGCATAATCTTTCCTCCTCTTATTCACACCTCTCTCTCACGGATTCTTGACCTTTCCCTCCCTGAAAATTAACTAGTCTAAAACAATGACAGAAGATTGCTCCTCCTCTGAAGAAACAAGCACCCCTACCACCTCCATATCACAAGACACCTTCACCACAGAAACTACCACGGTCACCACCTCTGCCTTCAACATCCCCCCTGAAACCCCATCATCAAGTTCCTCCTTCAACACCCATTTAGCCATCCAATCCCTTTCTTCCATTCTAACCACAGTTTCTCCCTCTCTCCTCTCTCAAGATCAAGACCCTGCCTTCTACCTCCTTCACAACCCTGATATCTCCTCTCAAGTCTCATCACTCCTCCGTCTCCCCGACTCTGGTGCGGGCGACAACAACCTCTGTCGTTGGTTCTATGACACGTTCCAATCCTCGGAACCCCAACTACAGCTCGTAGTCTTACGTTTCCTTCCCATTATTGCTGGCCTTTATCTCTCTCGTGTTGCCCTAAAAAAACCCTTGGCTGGTTTTGAGGCAGTTTTGTTAGGCGTTGCCCTAAAAAAACCCTTGGCTGGCTTTGAGGCAGTTTTGTTAGCCATTTATGCACACGAAACTACCTCACGTGCAGGCCAAGCTATGACTGTTAACGTGCCTGATTTGTCACATCCAAGCATCTACCATGAATCAAAAAAGCCTGCAAAGGATATTGATGCTGCAGATTTAAACCTAGCTGTGATATCTCCAAGTTTGGAGCCTCATGTTACGGTGAGATCAACAAAAAGGGCAAGAATTGTTGGGGTTGCATTAGAGTTATATTATAGTAAGATGTCTCTTATGCCTGTTGGTTCAAAGATTGATTTTTGTGAGTTTTGTAAGGTTTGGTCTGGTCAAGACGGTGATGAGTACAAAGATGGTGAGCTCCAAGACGATCAAGAAAATGTTGAGTTTCGAGTTGATCAAGGAAATCTTGGGAAGGAAAGTGTCATTAAGGAAGGGAGGATTGCTTTGCCATGGGAACTTCTGCAACCTGTTTTGAGGATATTAGGGCACTGCCTTTTGGGTCCTAACAAGGATAAAGAGTTGATATGTTCGGCTTCTGCAGCATGCGGAAGTTTGTATTCAAGGTCTTTGCACGATATCAATACTCAGGCAATTTTGGCTACTAGGAGTCTTCTTAGGCTCAGTAAGATGGCCTTGGATCCCAAGAACAATGTTGATCATACTGAGATACCAGTGACTGATGTTATCTCCCTCTAAGATTGAGTAGTTGATCTCTTCGATCTTGCCTTTTTTTTCTTTATTCTTCAATTTTTCATGTTCTTCGTGTGGAATATGCCTGCACCTTTTATGCTGAGTTTTGTAGAGCTTGCATTTTTTATTTCTTAAACATTATCTGAGATTGATTTTGCATATTGTTGGAAGGAAGTTGCATCTCCATCTCATTATGCTAGCTTTCTTTCATTCTTTTTTCTGTGCACTCTTGATTGTTCTTCTTACGTAGGCCACTAAGGCAGTGGCCTCAAGAAAGCCCTTAATTTTTGGAACAAATTGCTCAAACCAACAAGAAAGAAACTGGATTTCAGCTCTAAAAATCATTCCTTGTATTTGCACTACATTTTTTCATAGATTGGCTTCAGAACTTCGAGTAGAACGAGAGGAATATGAACGTCTCTTAGCCTATCTTAACAGTGTTAAAACAATCTCTCATCAGTTTAGTTCTCAGCGTTGGTGTCTTTGTTCTGCTGCAATTCTGTTTTTTCTCATGCTGATCAAGATATTATGATATGGTTTTGATGGATTTCATGCTCCCCTGTTGATCAATCAACGTAATGTTATGATCGCGTGGCACTCAATCTCAATCGAATTACCTCTGAATTTCCGAAGGAGTAGTTTAATCCAGAGTCATATGCAGGTTCTGTTTTGTACTCGGTTCTGTTTTACTCTTCTGCTAGCCCTTGTTGAACAATAAGTGTTTGAACCAATGAAAATATGTGGGCTAATTATAGTGATTGTGAATTGGGCTCATCATCTGATAGAAACACGAAAGAATCCCGATATGAAGCATATTTAAGTGATGGAAAAGGGCTTCTATAACCAACGATCTTTACTTTTGAGTAGCTTAATTGTATCAAGTTAATCCATTTTTATATGACTCGGATCAGCTTGGAAAGAATCTTAACCATTGAGTTACTAGATTCCATTTTGTATTTAATAGCCTAATTTCATTTCTTCTTTATATAAATAAATCTATTTTGATGAACTCAAGTCAATAAAAATTTTATTCAATTTAATTAAAAACGCTCTCCAGTAGAGTTTCAAGTTCATGGAATCATTTGAAGTTATGGGATGATAGGCTTATTAAACTACACATGGGTTTTCCCCAATTCAGAACATGGATGCTTAAGGCCAATTAATCCACTGAAAAATTCTATCAGGAGAAAAACAAACAAGGAAGAAAGAAAGGGAACAATGCTCTAGTTTTTTTTTAAATGAAATAATTGAAATAATACAACAAATCGCACACTTTATTTTGCTGCGAGGCATACCAGATCCCATGGTCACAGCATTTAATAAATGATGAGACTAAATTAAGCTGTTACACCTGAGAAGAAAACTGGAACTCAGAACAATGTTAGGAGAAATGAAGATGCTAAGCCACCAAAGATTGCATAAGCTGAGCCAGCAATGCTCGAAGCAGCACTCTTTTTATTCTCTCCAGTTGATGGACCTGCAGCCAGTCAGCTTAAAATCAATGAATTTTAATTACATGTTGACCTAGCCAATAAACTTTGAGCTAATTATTTGTTAGACCTGGCCCGGACTAGGGGCCGGTTAGCCAGGTCGCGGCTAGACCCGCCACGCCTGAAGGGTTAGAAGATCATACAAAATCAAAGAACTGGAAAAAAGACATCAATATGAAAGCAAGTACCCAGAGGTGTCGAGCCTGTTGATGGACCGCTTGCTGGAGCTTGTACTGGGTATCCCACAGCTGCAAAACATAGCCAGTTGAAAAAAAACATAAAAAAAAATAATCTAAAGCTAGAAATCTCCATGTTTTGGACTTGGTATTATGAACCATTGAGATCTGAACTTGAACATAAAAGGTATTATGCTCATGTTCAAGACAATTTTCTTAAAAAAAAAAAACAATAAAAAATAGATTAACACTTAGTAATTTTCTTTAAAAAACAATAAAACAATATTATTTTAATAAAAAAATTAACTCGTAAGTAATTCAATAATCCTGTTTCCTTTTCAAAACAATCTTGAATGCAGGAAACAATCAGGGGGTTCTCACCTATCATCTACAGGCACGTGATGGAACGGGAAATGATACATAAAAGGAGCACAATAACAGATCTAGCACGTGATTAGGTGAGGGAAAATCCACTTGAAGTAAACTAAACATGGATTTTTTTCAACCGCCATCCCAACTACCACTTGAAGTAAACTATACATAGATTTTACAGAACACAATTACCATGAATATAAGACTGAAGGATTTGCATTAGGATAATTTTAAGGAAAACCCAATTAATTAAAGAGAAGACAAATTCCAGACAAACGACAAGCATCTATACCTTAAACTTCACACTATCAATGATTTCTTACAAGCGATTTATTTATTTATTTTCAAAAACACATGAATCTGATAAATAAAATTGGGTTTAATTTATTTCACCAAATCTGCAAGCCACTAGCCTTGCAAGATTTTTCTTTTCTAGCTAGCCCTTTTTTTCTATTTTAAGAACTAAAAAAATTGTTTGTAGGGTCTCAAATTCTAATAAAAAAAGAAGAAGAGGGATGGCAGATTCAAGATGGTTCCCATAATAAATGTCAAAGGCAAAACGGTGAGCATCGTGCATTAACGGCAAGTGATGGGTTTGGGCAGAGCAAAGACAAGGCACTGGTAAAGTTCGTTGATAGCATT